GAGAGAGAGAGAGAGAGAGAGAGAGAGAGAGAGAGAGAGAGAGAGAGAGAGAGAGAGAGAGAGAGAGAGAGAGAGAGAGGGTAGGTGAGTTCGTGGGTGAGTTTTCGGGCAAGAGGAGTTGAAGTTTGTGAAGACGGTTTGCGAGGCAGATTTGCAGCTCCTCACTCGCGCTAGCGGATTCAGGTCTTGAATCCGTAAAGCGCGAGTGAGAGAGTCGAATCAAGCCAGAGAAGGCGGAGGGAGGGGGGAGAAGAAGGGAGGGAGGGGGGAGGTAGGAGAGGGTGGTATGGAGAGTAGCAAGGATGGGAGTGTGGAAGAGGAGGAGGGACGAGAGCAGAAGCAAGAGCAGGAGGAGCGGGGGCAGGAGGAGGAGAGCGGGGCTGTAGATGGAAATGAAGCGGGAGATGGAGACAAGGGAATAAATGATGGCGGCGGAGAGAGGGGTGTCGGTGAGGAAACGCCTCTCGGCGATGGTGGGGAAAGGACCCTCCCCCCTCTCAGTGAAGAACGCGATGGTTCGCTGTCCCGACGGAGTGCCACGTCAGCGTTGGGAAAGCGATCTTCGGGCGATGTCGGATCTGAAGTTGATGGCGATGAAGATTTGACAGAGCGATCTCCTCAGAGGCTAAGGATAAGCGACGATGACGTGGCTAAAGCTAATAAAGAAGATCAAGATGGTCGGCTGATGGAGCTGGGGGCTGAGGTCTTCGTGGACAGGGGGGCCATGAACGGTGACATAATGGGGGCGGAAAGGATGATGGGTGGGGGGGGAATTTGGGACCAGGCACCTGGACATCATCCCGCGCCGGGAGCACTGCTGGTGCAGCAGCAGCAGCAGCTGGATAAGCAGAGAGAAGAGGAACAAGTGATGGAGAAGGAGGAAGAGGAAGACGAGGAGGGTGGTGATGGGAACGACCCTTATGAGCCGAGAAGAGGAAGTCCATCGCCGGAGGGAATGGTAGGAGGAGGAGGAGGAGGAGGAGAAGGAGGAGGAGATGGTGGAAGCCAGAGGGGAATAACCCGAGAGTTGTTGCCAGAGAGAGGACCGGACGGAGCCATTATTCTACCTCCATCGCTCGATGAAGCTGTGACAGTATTGGAGTGCGAGCAGGAATCTGGGGAAGGGAAGGCGTTTGTCTACGTGCTGGGGACTGCACACGTGTCCCAGGTAAGCAAGATGATGGACTCTCAACGACGGGACTGAGAATAGAATCTTCCTCTCTTTATAAAGCACTCCATCAACCAACCTGGCGGCGGGTTTATCACCAACAGCTATCTGCGTCCAAACTCACGAAAGTGACGGGGCAGGCGCAGTGATGCTGCATATGTCATGACTATTTCTGGTTTGAAAGATTTTGCTCTCTCACACACACACACACACACACACACACACACACACACACACAGAGAGAGAGAGAGAGAGAGAGAGAGAGAGAGAGAGAGAGAGAGA